GCATATGAAGACTAGCCCGGACAGACAGACAGGTAAACATTTTAAAAATGGTCGTTTATTTCTTAATAAAAGAAAATAACCCCCTGAGCTTCGTATAAGCCAGTTATTTCGATATTATAGACATATACTTTAATTTTGTTTACCTGTTTACTTAACCACACGCAAAAGAAGAAAAAAAAAGAATAGACAGACATATATAATAAATGTAGAAATAGACACGAGGACCTTTTTCCGAAACCATCGGCTATATCATCAGTTATGGACAATATTGGTTTAATGTTGAAGCATAAACGAAGCTGACTTCGGCACAGTGAAATATATTTGCAAACGTAGCTTTTACTAACACATATAAGTGTGAATCGAAGGTATTTTAAATAAAGTATATTAATTTGACGTCTGGCGCTTACACCACTACAATGAAATGCTGTCGTCTTTCTGAGGTTTCCCACAGATGCCTACGACACCCACAGGACTAAATGGAGTGTTGGATTCTTATAATCTGCCACTACTTCTCTTACCGTTACCCTCACTGCCTATTGAAGCCCACTGCTGAACATAGGCCTCCCTCATAAATTGCCTCATAGGGGGAGACTTGCCATAATTGCCGCATTTGGCAAGCTGGCTCGCACTGCAATTTTTATTTTTAGTCGTTATTAAGACGAGATGGGATAGTGGATTTTCGTAAACTACCACTACACTGGTCCCTACTTCTCTTACTACCACCTATTACAGGCTGTGAGGTATTCCATCTTAGTTCGCGACATCGCAACTTTAGCTTTATTTGTATGAAGTTGGCTGCAGGTGTCCATGAAACTCCAGTTACCACTTACCATCTCGTGGACTGTAATTTCGTTTGTCAACTACAACTTCTAGACAAGTAACGAGAATAATCAATACTGCGACACAGCTTGTGCTGCGATCGTCGACCTGCCAAGTGTTGCGATTAAGACAAGCACTCCTAAAGGTCAAGACACATACCATGCCCTACATATTTAAGGACTGATGAAGAAGAAATAATATTATTTTCAATACCAATCTCTTACCTATAGGTTGATATTGAATAAAAATCAACAACCTAGACAGGCTCATAGACAGACAAAGTGCCCGGCTACCTAGTACATCCATACAACTTTTAACAACATATTTACCAGTAACTAAACATTTAACTATAACGCTGCAAATCCGGCAGTTAATACGCACGGAATAGGCAATTTTTATGGCCTTAAAATAATTGTTCCGTATATGAATGCTAAATCCTCAGCAAACTGTATTAAAATTGTAACACAAATGGATCTGCTCGACCGGGGTCTTAACAATCATAGCAGGTTAATACTGCTGTGTTTTGTATGGTCAGTGTAGGAAACACACTTCTTAATGGAAATGAAGCTTTCTGGCATACTCTTAAAGGGTAACAGAACAACTGAATTTAGATTCTTAAACGAAGAGATGTTACTTTTATTTTATAAAGAATCATCTAACTGGATCTAGCGAGATTCTGAGTAAAGGGCGTTACATCATGAACTGTTATATATGAGAAATTTATCTTATGTATGACTAATTTTCTGTTTATTTATTACCAAATTTTAATAAAAATTAAAAGCCTTCTAAAACTATAAAATAAGTCAGTGCTAATTCATATTTTATAAAATTTAAACCTAGAAAAATAGATAAATAAAAAACAGCTATTATGTGAAAATATTTTTTATGCAATTCTCGGAAGTGGCCTTTTATAAAAAGTTTGATTTTTGACTCTATTGAATGATGCACAGAATATCACAAGCGCAATGACACAATTAGAATTTTGTCTAAATAGTTGCATCAAAAAGTATTTAATTTCCTACTTTACCACCTTAAGATATGGGATTTTAATACAAATTTATAATAATGGGTTACCTTCGAAGTATAACATATTTAATTAAAAAAAAAGAATCGTTAAAAATAATAAAGATAGATTGTAACAAAATAACAATTGGTAAAATTAAAATGTTGTACAACCGACTTCAATATAAATAAAATGAGAACACCATCAATGCCGTCGAAATCCATCAATTTTTTTATAGAATAGGAGGCAAACGAGCATGCGGCTCACATGATGGTAAGTGACTACCGCCGCCCATGAGCAACCTCAAAACCAGGAGAATCGCAGGTGCTTTGCCAGCCTTTTTAGAAAGGAGTAAGCTCTTTTCTTGAAGGTCTCTAAGTAGTATCGGTCCGGAAAAATCGCCGGTGGTAAACAATTCCACAGCGAATTTGTAATAATAAAAAAATAGTGTTTAACTTAAATTGTTTTACAAAAGCGTTTCGTTAAGGTTAATACTCTGTGTTTTGTATGGTGAGTGTAGGAAACACACTTCTTAATGGAAATGAAGCTTAATAAAAGAATAAAAAATAGTATTTAACTTAAATTGTTTTACAAAAGCGTTTCGTTTTACAAAAGCTTTAGCACACATGTGATGTCACAATACGAAAATAATTACTTAAAGGCAGCTCATGTGACTTGAATGTGTTTGGATATTACACTTCATTTGTTTACGAATACGTGGTGTATATATATTGGATGTCAATATATTTTACTTGAATGTTATATAAATAAATATGTTGTACTAAAATGAGTTAACTAATAAAAGTACAGAGGACATTTTTAGGCTACTTAAAAAAAGGGGGTCTTAAAATTCAACTTTGTCAAGTCCATGTGACAATAACAATTGTAATTAATAGAATAAGGTGTTACCTTGAAAATTCTTTTTATTTTGTTTATTAAGCATAATTATGTAACATTATCCAGTACAATACTAGCATGTAAACCTTTAGGCTAGGAGTTTATCTACGCTAGAGAGTCATCCTCTATAAACAAAGATGTATTATTATTAAATCACAATATTCTAAAAGGTTAATACAACAAATATGATTTAAGGCTACTTTTAAACAGGTTTGGTTTACCCTATGTTTTTTGTAATTTTATTGGTAAGTCATTAATGAAAGTACGCACAAGGTGAGGCAACTTTCTTGCTCCATAGAAATTTTTAGTTTTCGGAAGTACATAAATGTTAGTTCGGAAGTTTTTTTTTATAGGATAGGTGACAAACGATCACACAGTCCACCTGATGGTAAGTGGTTGCTGTGGCCCATAAACATCTACATCTATCCTCGATTACGAATCAAAATGCAGATGCGTTGTCACCCGTGAGGACTAAGACTGAATACCTCGTTTCCAGTAAAAACGGTCTCCGGTTCTCTACACTCACCATACGGAATACAGCAGCATTAAGCTACTATTTCACGCTGGTATTCTGTGAGAGCGTGGTCCTTCCCCGGTCGAGCCGACCCATTCGTGCTACAACTATACTACTAATATAACTGCAGCATGGCTCTACCACGTATAAACTTACTGCTTAAATACATCGTAGATATTAGATTTAACGTCAGTATATTAAATTTAACTTTATCAAAAACATTAAGAACTTTGAAAACCACAAAAAAAACAAGTTTAGAAAAGTTAAACATTAATTAGCTAAGATTCACGTATTGTGTCGTTTGGTACAAAACTTCCCATTTTAAGAATCGGTTAAGAAAATAATATTTAATAAATAATAATAAATTCACTCTTTTTTGATATTTTTAGTAATAATTAATCACAGACAAATTGATCTAGCAATGTAGTGTTGGTGTAAGAATATTCAATATAAACAGGAGATGAGCAACAGCGTCTATCTGAAACTAGTAAAAAAGCTGCGGTGCCAAGCGTGGCAGCTATGGTAAATTATCTCTTATGAGATAATCTGTGGGGAAGAATTATGTTAAGCTGTGGACTTTTTAAAGGCTGAAATAAATGATTTAGAAGATAATATTCTAACCCACTTCGTTTTCACGTACTTTACTTATGCAATTACTTTTATAATATTAGTTAAATTTATTTTGATTGGTCAGTCATGATCGCTTAGATTCATACATATTAGGAAAGTGAACCGGTGCTACAACTATTTACTGCAATTTTAAGAACTTATTTCCTTTTCTGGCTCCAAAAATTCATCTTTAAGGAAACCTTTAATAAACCTAGACGACCTCGACTTCTAAATAATGTCACGTCGTAATATAGATACGATCACGATATAATATAGATTTTTATGTTATATTTTTGAACTGTTTATATATATTTTTAAAGAAACTTTTTGTTATTTTTGTATGCCTTTCGATATACTTGAAGTTGCAATCGTATTTTTTTAAGAATAAGGTTGAAAACCAGCATAGAGGTCCATAGAGATCCAGATGGTACGTGAATGCTCTGGCCCATAGACACTCACATTTAATTTATGTTATAGTTAATTTTTCTAGGTTAATAATAAAAAAGTATTTGTTAAATAGAATAAAAAATCTAAAAGCGAACTACCACTAATCTTGTATATGTAATTTATACCAAAGTTTGCGTCTCGAAGCAAATCTTGCCAATAAAATCTAGCAGCTTTAGGCTCGGTAGAATGACTTGCCAAGAGGCTTGTATCTTTATTTATTTATTTAAAAAAAACTTACACGTAATAGCTTAAGTTAAAGGGTACATAGGGCGGACTTAACCCTAGAACCGTACCCTGGGGTACAACTGAAAAAATATTTTTAAAATTGGCTATTATAACCTTTTTGTTTTAAAACGGATCTTTTCGCACCGACGCGTATTTATGGGGGACGGGGGGTTGTGTCGAAGCATCAGTCGGGCGCGAGTTCTGTTAGCGTGCGATCGTAGCAACGCGTGTGTGGTGTACTCCAGCACCCCTGGGTACAGTTAAGGTAATTATTTTAGTTACTAATTACTGGATGTTTTTTATGAAATAAGCTATGCTATTTTTTTTGTTTGATTCATGATTTTAATTTTAACATTGCAATATTACCTTAGAAGTAACTTTGTCTGCATACGATGTGTTTGTACTTAATATTTATTTGCAATATTTATACAATTTTATTTACGTTATTTTGTTTAGTAACGAATTTTTTGTAATTCTTCTTTTTAGATGGCGTCAAGAAAAAACCTTTCAGAAAATGAAATTCAAAACCTCCTTCTGGACGTTCGTGATGAAGATGAAGTGTTTCTTGGGGATGAATTAGAAGATGAACTGGATGAAATTATTCCCGATTTTCGCGATGAACAGGTTCCTGTCGAAGAGGATGGCTCTAACCATGAAACAGATCTTGAAAGTTCGGAAGAAGAAATTGTAGAGGATATTGTCCAGGTTAGAATCACAAATTCTCCAGTAACAGTTCTTACAGTACCCGAAGTTTTGCGAGGTAAAGGAATAAAAAAGCAAAGAACTAGCGAAAAATTTCTATGGTATGGGACTCATCGCCGTTCCTCGCGTAATCCACAAAGAAATATAATATTTCATGCACCAGGAAATAAAGCTCCTGCTAAATTTACTACCAGTGCCTTAGATAGTTGGAAATTATTTTTTACGGATGAGATTTTGCATATGATAGTAACTAATACTAATCTTGAGATATCTGAACAGCGCAAGAAGTATAAGTCAGACAGGCTAATAACATCTCAAAATGATGATGATGATGATAATTCTGTTTCTACGAGTATTCGACCTTCTTTTGTCCGAGATGTAACCGTAACCGAATTAAAAGCTCTCTTTGGCTTATACTATTTAGCTGGAGTTTTAAAAATTAATCACTTGTCTGTCAAAAAAATATTTGATAAAAATACGGGCATCAACTATTTTCGGTCTACTATGAGTGAGAAAAGATTCGAATTTTTGACAAATTGTCTTCGATTTGATGATCGTTCGACCAGAGCTGAAAGAAGACAACATAGTAAATTGGCACCAATAAAAGAACTGTTCGATCACATTGTTGAAACTTCAAAAAGTCTTTATTCACCTTCAGATTGCACAACGATTGACGTGCAATTACTTGGGTTTTGCGGTAGATGCCCATTCCGTATGTATATTCCATCAAAACCCAATAAATATGGAATAAAACTGTTAATGTTTTGTGATGCAAAATCTTATTATATGATAAATAGTATAATATACACTGGAAAAGATTCTACACCACGTGAATTACCAGTGGCTGAGTATTACGCATTGGAGCTTTCAACTTCTATTCATGGGTCTAATAGAAATATCACGTACGATAACTGGTTTACTTCAATCCCTGCTGCCGAAAAACTCTTAACCAAAAATGTTACAACAGTTGGAACAATGAAAAAAAAAACAAAACAGAAATCCCTACACATTTTTTGGAAACCAAAAACCGCCTCAAGAACACATCAATGTTTGCTTTACATGACGAACTTACTTTGTTATCATATGTGCCTCCAAAGCTAAGTAAAAGAAAAAAGAAAAACGTGATTATGCTTTCTACTATGTACTATCAACCAGACGACGACAAATCTGTTGATTTACCAGAAATAATAAGTTTTTATAATCAAACGAAAGGAGGAATGGATACTTTTGATCAGCTTTGTCATACATACAGTGTTTCTCGCAAAACTCGTCGCTGGAGCCTTTGTGTATTCTACGGAACTTTGAACATTGTGGGAATTAACTCCATGATATTACTGCATTCATCAAAAGCCAATGGTAAACAAGTTTTCAAGAACAGACGGAGTTTTCTGAAGGCCTTAGCTTTTGACCTTATAAAACCTTATTTGGAGGACCGATTTTTATATAAAAATTTTGCCTATGCATCTACAAATAAGTATTGGCGGTATTTTAGAAAAAACACGACCTTCTAGTGCTCCATTATCTTCAGATTCAAAATCTGGTAGATGTTCATTTTGTCCCAGGTCAAAAGACCGTAAATCACGCACTCGATGTGAAAAATGTAAAAGTTTTATATGTTTAGAGCACCAAAAAAGATTTGCCAAAATTGTTAATTTAAGTTTGTTAATTTTTTGTTTAATTATGTAACGTGAGACTGAAATACTAGAACCCCTGGGTACTGTTATTTAAAGTCTATTATGGGTACGGTTCTAGGGTTAATGCCATATGGCATTCTCTGCCAGTCAACCCTGGGTGCCAAGGATAATTATTGTTGGCAGGTGCGACCATTATACATAAATAATCACATACATAATATAACATATAGTATAATATACATCATACATATATATATATATATATATATATATATATAATATTTAATTAATATGTAATGAAATATTTGAAGTAAAAAAGAAGAAAAGAAGGACAAGAATTAAGGAAAAATAATGTCAATTAAGTAGTTGCCTTCAGGTTAGAAAAACTTTTATGTAATCTGAGAGGTCAGGCGAATCGTTTAACATTGAATAAAGTACAAGCAAAATTCTAGAGCATCGCCTTTGACGTATAGGTAGCCATTTAAGCTTTAAACGATAGGATGATATGTGGTCATACTTACGTAAACCAAAAATAAACCTTATGGAATTATTAAGAAGGCGCTCCAACTTGTTTAGAAGATTTTCTGACAGATCTGGGTAACATACACCGTCATAGTCGATAATAGGTAGAATTAGGGAATGAACCAGCGTAAGCTTGGTTTTGAAAGGTAGGAAATTTTTTAGACAATAAAGGGAACGCAAGATAGCAACAACTTTACGACTAACTTCAGAGATCTACAATTTCCAGGTCATATTACAGGCCAAGATTTTTTATGGAATCACAGTATGGAATCAAATTTCCATTATAAGTTACAGGATAGAGATTTCCATAATTAACCTTAGCCAATAATTGCGAACTTCCGAATATTATTAGGCTTGAAATTTAAAAATTAAAATTTTTAGGCTACTGTTACCTACTTTTTGCCATTGGTTTAATTATTAGCTGTAATAAATGAAATTTGAAAATGACATTTAAAATCCACCCCAGGTTCCTGGATTGTGGATTCTTTAAAAAGGTCACGTTTTTTCGAACCGGTGTAGATTATAATATTAATGAGATGCTTTAACAAGTCTGAATTGATTAAAATGTTTTAACTATCACTGGTGATTCCTTTAAATTTTTCTTTTCATTTTAAGAAACAATCATAACTAAATAAGAGCAAACCAACCCCCCCCCCTCTTCCGTTACCTTAAACCATTTTCTAAATGAAATACTTCTTAGTGTTATTGGTATGTCAAGAACAAACGAAACCGTGTTTCTGTCAATATTGTACTTACGTAAAATAAACTTTCTTATGTTTAGGAAAACATCACATAAGTAATAAATAACTCTGTACAAAAGTCTCTTTTGCCAAATGAGCACATAGTTCATCTGATGTAGTTTTGTACATGCGGGGCCTACCTGCAGCTTAGCTTGCAAAATATGGGTCACAAGCGAGCTCATTCTAGGCACTTAGGCTGCTGTGGTTTATAGGCATTTACATCTATCCTAGATTTTTTTTTAAATAATCTTACCACCACACTAGATTTTTTCTTGTATTGTGGTTAGTTTACATATATAAATTGCACAAAAACAAACATCCAGACTCGGAACAATTATTTGTAGGCCATACAAATACTTGCAAAGTGCGGGATTCCAATCCGCGGCCTTTAGCACCGTAATCCATTGCTATGCTACTGCGTCAGGCAGCCGTCTAATTACCAAATTAAAATATTAAAAGGATTAAGAATCAAAAAGCAGGCGCTTTGTCGCCCCTGAGGACTGTGATGGATTGTCTTGTTTCCAGTATTTTTTAATCTAATATTCGAAACATGGCAGGTATTTTACACTGGTATTCTGTGAAAGCGTGGTTCTTCCCTGATCGAGTAGACCCATTCGTGCTACATCCATAATATATCTGCAACATGGCTCTACTACGTATAAAATACGTATAAAAACGTATAAAATTTATTTTACACATTATATTGAAATAAAAAATATTATTATTAAATTAAAAAGGAAAGTAAAGTTCTAGCCTCTTCCTTCCTTTACAGCCCTTCTTCTAGCCTCCATAATTTCCATAATATCGGGATTGAACTAAATGATAATATCAACAAACCGGTGGATTCTTGTACTCTATCACGAATAATTTAAGCATAAACATGGAAGCAGATGCAAAAAAGTCAAAATAATGCAGTTTTAAATTGAAGAAAGCCGTGTAATATTTCTGCTATAGTTCGCCAAATTACTAATCCCACCTCGCTCCGCGAAATCACTGACTATAACTAATTAATCAACGAAACTTCGCACACAGTATAGTTTGCCGGAAGATGCTCCGGTAGCAGAAACTTAATTCCAAATTTATATCGGTTAAGATATTATGCTGGAGAGCCAGTAAAGGTTTTCAGATAAATTTGAGTTTACTCCTGCCCAAGTTAGTTTTTTAGTAAAATTATTTTTATAGCAGTTAGTTAACTGTTCACTGTCTTCAATAGCGTTCATCATTTTGTTGATTCGTTTGTCATTTATTTTTGGATAAACAAGAGTGATAAAGGAACACACAATACACCTTACAATGAGTGGTTGCTGTGAGAAAGACACATGCCTGTCCTACGTCCACCTCCTATTAAAATCGAATTAGCGTTGTCACCCTTAAAGACAGATGAAATTTCTCAATATCTGATTAGTAGCAAAAATACATTTTTATGTTCTATAACGTGGCTCTATTATGTCATTATTTATTTTTTATACCAAATCACTAATAACTGTGCCCAAGAAAGTGAATAAATGAAGTAGCAACTAGCCAGAGAGAAATACAGTAAGACACCCTGTGAGATTTTTTAAATAATAATTTACAATGTATGTTGTACAATTGTGTATAGAAACAATTAGAAACACTTGAGGATGAAGTGATAGCGATCACTTCATCCCCAGGTCCATCCAGGTTATTCCAGGTCATGAATCATGTTTTAATAAATATTCTTCTTCTTAACGTTCCGTCTCCTTGCGAAGGTTGGCAATCATTAGGGCGATTTCAACTTTTGAGACCGCTGCTCTAAATAGTGTAATAAATATATAAATCAGAATAACGGTACAAACGAGTATATAGTATAAAATTATTATCTATTATTTTTTATTTGAAAAAATGCCAGCTATGCTACTAACATTACTAATATTTCCTTTAACAAGTTACTCCTGGAAAGTTGAAATTGCTAGCGTTAGGAGTGGTTCAAGAGTGTAATCGAATGATGGATTCGAACCCACGTCGTTTTGAGTTTGTGGTCCGCACTCTGCCATTAGTCTTCTGTCGCCTATTGAATTATTATTTGAATTATTATTACTATTAATATTATTAAGAATAAGTACCAAAATTTACTGTGTCATATTATAAAGTTAAGTATGTCGTTACAAAACACATTTTGTTTAAATAGTCTATAATTTTATATAATTTGGACCGAAAAGCTATTCGGAATCGTTCTTAAATCTATTTATAAAATTCCTTCGTTTGTATTCGGGAAACACATTGTGTAACTGAATATAAATTATGTTTGCTTAATTCTTATTCATGAACGATTGTATTTTTTTTATTTGTACATTTTATGCAATAATGGAACAATCATTAATGGTTAATTAGTAATTACAAATACAGTCAACTACAAACCAAAACAAAATTCACATAGTACCATTTCATCATTCTTAGACATGCTTCCCATCATGTATGAACACAGGCGTCCCTAATTGCCATAAAGTATGTTTTTAGCTACCTGCATCCACCAGTTTGCATCATGCAATATGTCTGTTTAATCCGGCCTTCACTGGATCTACTGGAGCACCATAATATGATATAGTATATTGTACACTTTTAATATACTGGAAGTGTAAATGTACTGGAAATGTTTATTTTGTTCTAATTAATAATATATCGTTATACAATTAGCTTTTCAACAGAAAAAGGGTCACGCTTGCACGAAAAACAAGCTTAAAGTAGCCGCAAAAATGCAGTTGTACCTTATGTAACGCGTCGATAGCACAAGAAAACCCTTTTCATGGGCAAGAGGCACCAACGATAACTAATGAAGCATCTTTATCCTCGAGGGTAATTAGCATTAATTTTTAATCGAAGACAGATATAGATGTGCATACACTTATCACATGGAATGTGTGCTCGTTTTTAACATTTAAAAACTTGAATCTAATAAATAATAAAGAGTACGCTTGCAAAAGCGTTCGTAATTATTTTTAATTTATAGAATTCATATCACCTCTCTTAATTATCTATCTATTTTAGCAATTCATTTTTATTTAAAGAAAAACAATTTAACATTAGTTTATATGATTCACGCTTACTTTGGCATGTTCGCGATTGTTAGCCTTTAAAATTGTTCTTTTAACGACTTTAAAAATAAGGGCTTTATATTTCACGAGTATGATTTTTAAAGACGAGTATTATTCTAAAAGTTAAATGAGGTACAGTCCATATATATTAT